CCCGAACAATCCTGCACACTTTTGCAACAGAAAAGCTAGTGAAAAGCCCTTTCGTTGTAAAATCTCAACTGGCTCTATTGAAGTAACTAAAATTAAAAAAAACATATGTATCCGTCCCCCCATTTCCAAAATAAGAATTATCTATTTATAATAATACTCGTAGTTCATAGAAAATAACAGCAATAAATGTTTTACTAATGCAACTGATCCTGAAGTTTATTTAGAAATTTTAAGCATTAACATTGTTATGAAATCTTCAGATAGGCATTCATAATGATGAATACTTACATTGCAACTGTTAATATTTGGTGTATCGTTTTAATTTATCATTTAATATACGATTCTTGCCGTCTATTCCCTTCCAAGTTTAATGCAAAATGTCTTATAATATAAGACATTCTGTACTGATGTACATAGATAACTACAGGGTGGCTTTTTTAAGGGTGCCCAAATTCACACAGGAGGTTCAGACTCGGTAGTACAATCCTTTATTGAAATAAAAACAAACTTTTTTTTTTCAAAAAAAATTCCATTTTATTCCCTAAAAAACAAAACTTGTTGACATTACAGTAGTCATTCATAAATGCGTCGTATAGTTTTGAAACGAACTTGTGTGCGTGTTAGTTATGAATGATCGCGCGTAAAATAAATGAGTTGCCCATAAATCACGCATTTTCTGAGATAAGTTAAAATGAATGTAATTAAATAATAACGAGTGATTTTAAATATTTATCATTTTTTATATAACATTTTTTATGTCTAGAATTTAATAAAAAAAAATGGATACACTTAGAAAACCCTCCCTGTATATCAGTTTTACATGTCGTTACAAGTTTAACTTACGCTTCCAAATACAACGCGCCATACCATAATACGCCATAGCTGCGGCCCGATCGCAGAATCCGGGAGTTTTTCATCAGACAGGTGCTATAAAACTTTACGAGGATCGAACCCGTCGCGACGGCACAAAAAAATTGGAGCATGCGCATGCGGTGCGCTCATGAAAATTAATAAGTGTTTCGTCAGAAGCCCGTCAGAAGCCGCTGGGTCTTTTTCGAATTTTTGTCCGCAATTTGTCGCGGTATAATTGAGTTTTGTGCAGCGGTTGTCGCCGCTCCGAGGGCAGTGATTTGAGGTGGCTTTAGTGATTTTTTTTATGTTAGCTTCAGCTTCATTCGCTGGCATGTTGAGGGAAGGCGGAAATAGCAACCTTGATAAATCCAAGCATACGTGATAGCTAATTTATCATGTACTCTTAGATGTGTGGATGTACAGCGTGTCGTTACCATCTCTAACGCTACTTGCCAATAATCATAAAAAATATTAACGTTAAAGAAAATCCATAATTAAAAAAAATATTTTTCAAACAAACTAATTATGTAAAAAAGAAACAAAATTTGTAACATCCTATACAACTACAACTGACTGATTCATACATTCAAAGACTTTTTCATTCGTTGCCACAGCGTCGCATTACAAGCCTCTCCTTCTAACAGTATGTTTTGTCTCTTTTAAATTCATTCAACCCATTCATATGCTTTGTGACCTTTACAAATGAACTTTACGTTACAGTTTTATACGTAAGGCTGTTCTAAAATTCTTTGTTTTGGAAAATTTAATAACTCTGTTAATATTGATGTTTAAAGAATGTAACTGTTTAATACAATTTTAAAAAGTTATCCTCTATATGTGTGTTCATTTATTGTCGCGATTGTAAAGACACGCTGTATATATATATATATAGATATAGGGTAAGAGTCGATAATCATATATATCTCTTAAAACACGCTTCATTCTTATATCACTGAATTTTCGAATAAGAAAAATAAATTTTTAACACATTTTACCACGGTGACTATCATTTATTACGGCGACTATCATTAAGACAGAAAAACCTAAAGTGAATACTATTAAAGGAGCGCGATCGTTTCTAGACGTGACGCGAACCGCTCCGCCTGTATTCGTTCGGAATTATTACGTGAATAATTAAAGAAAGAAAAACCTAGAATGAAAACTGCCAAAAGAGCGCGATCGTTTCTTGACGTAACGCGTCTCGTCGTTCGGAAACCGACGCGAAAAACCCGAAAAGCGGGGACTTCGGCCGCTCGCCCATATTTGGCCGCCGAACGGGGCGGTCGGCATAAATGATTCGAAATCGTTTCCGCGAGCCGAAAAAAAACACGTGTCACAACGATAAATCATTCGGAGCCGCCGCGGCGGGTTTACTCACTCGATCGGGTCTACTGTTCGATTGGCGATGCGACGGTTGCGCGCGCTTGCGATAGGAAGAGCGACAGACTGATAGAGGTGACAGACTTTTGTCTTAAAATTTTATATTGAAATCGAGTATATGTAAGTAAAGTAATAGCCTATACATGCCCCACTGCTGGGCAAAGGCCTCCTCTGTACAGAAGATAGAAGGGCATAGTCGACCACTACAGATTGGTGGAATTCACATATATCTTCGAATTTTGTTTTTATCATTTCGAAAATATGCAGGTTTCCGCACGATCATTTCACGGCTCAGTATCAAGTATGGGTAACACACAAACGAATGTTATACCTTATTACTAACTAATTTTTCACAATACGGTGCTATTTAAATCTACCTATACTATATAAATCTACCTATACTCTAATCTATATATTGCAAGACCTTTCTCATGGAGTCTTTATTAGTTCCTCATCTTCATTATTTCAGCTCATTTATATCCATTGTTGGACATAGTACTCACCCGCAGACTGTAACGAAACACGATTCCGAGCCACCTGCACTCATCGACTTCCCACTCATTTGCATAATGGCGTGGCAATTCATACACTTGCAATTATATCAAGGATACCTTTATGTCTCTAACACTATGATAATGAAGCAAACACTTGCTTACTCAAAACAGGACTCTAGTGATAACCATCGGTTGAGTTATTATTGCAGCGAACATGGAATAGGTTATCTACTTGAAGGTTCGTCAGTCGGCAGTATCAATGGCTATAAATTATCCATCAAAGTAGTCGTATATAGCGGAAAACTACGTGAAAAAACGCTTTGCACTGAACTTCGCTCTGTCAGAGCCATATAGATAAATAAATGCTTTTTATTCATCTATTTCAATAAACTATACATCTATGTCGCATTATTATTACTCAAAACGTATTTAATTTCATTTCACACTTAACGTCACAGATGAGAAAACCGACCTGTTTTGTTGTGCGAGTGAATTGAGAAGAGTTGCAATGTTTACTATATGTTACGATATTCGGTGTATTTAATTTAAAGGAAATATATATTTATTAGGTTAAGGTAAATTTAATGCTACTTCAAGCGAATTAGGATTTTTTTTCTCTTATCCTAGTTGACAGGTGTTTAAATAAATAATACATTTATATCACAACAGTTCTTCAACGTGTTCGATGACGCATCTAAATGTTTCGCAACATCGTACCGCCGAATGTTTATAGAGAGTTGTAAAGAAGAATGTCGTTCGTCGCTTTTTGTTTAAAACCCTTTTTGAAACTCCTTTTTGCTTGAATAATATATTTGTGTTACATTGAAAGGTTGCGCGTCGCTTCCTTATTTATTGTTGTTCGTTATAACTGTAAATCGAAATTAACGTTATTAATAACGCCGGTCTGCATTATTAGTGGTACAGATTTTTTTCATGGCAGCGAGTATGAGTAAGAGTGCACAGAAATGTTTAAAATGAGAACAGAATTGATGGGCGGTGATGTTTAAAATTATTACGTAATATTTGTTAACAAGCATGAAAAACGACCCGTAATCCTTAGCCATGTGTGGTCACGTGGTGTAATATGCACTAATACCCTCTGTCAGAGGAGGCCTTTTTCCAGCAGTGGGACGATTAACCCTTAGTTTATAATATATGTTTAGAATAACCACTTTGGTTTTTTCAGACAAGTAAATCCTTACAGAAAATGTATATTATCGGATTATACTTGTTTAGATGAGACAATATAATTGGGATAAACATATGTCTGTCTGTATGTCTGTCCGTCTGTCACAAGGCTGTATCTCATGAACCGTGATAGTTAAACAGTTGAAATTTTCATAGATGATATATTTCTATTTCATCTATAACAAAAAATACTAAAAAAACAGCATAAAATATCGGGCTCCCATACAACAGACATGATTTTTTGGCGTTTTTTTAGATAATGGTACGGAGCCCTTCGTGCGCGAGTTCGACTCGCACTTGGCCGGTTTTTACAACCCTAGAGCAATCCGCAGCTAAAACAAAGTATTGCTCAAGGAGTATAGTATATACTCGCTCCACTAGTATAGTTATACTTGTGATATTATTTATCTGTTTCATTTATTTAAAAGGAATGACAGCATAAACGTTCTATTGCTAACAACACAATGAGGTATTAAGGAATTCTCCTTGTAACGGGCGACCTGATGTTTTTTTTTTTAAGAAATAAAATAAATAATGTAAGTAACAATACATCCACAAATTTATAACTAATTTCTCTTTGTTGGAGGTTTGTTGTTGAACCAATAATATAAAAACAAAAGAAATAATTAAGTATTCACGCTTTCGGTGGGGTGGAGTGAGAGACGGAATTATTTTTTTTTTTTTTCATTAAAGCTTTTAGATTAAAATAATGCTTTTTACTTAATATTAAACAATAATTCTCAAGATGGGCGAAATTTATTTAACCACTTCTGAGGTCTCAGGTCGTCCAGTGTCACTTCAGCGTATGGTTATAAGAATGTAGTTATAGCATTCTTTATGAAGTGCCGGACGACACAAGGCTACTGGTGAAGTTATTTATGATATCAATTATAAAAATTGCTCGTAATTAAGATATCTTCCATAAATTACATTTTTATTGGTATAAAAAATTGCATTGTTTTAATTTTTTAAACCATCGTCATGTGGGCACGAAAACTTCGATTGGATTAATTGTGCATATTCCATTACATTCACGCCAGTTTACTAATTGATAATCAGGTGAATTCGTTCTAACGTTATACATACATGTTCAAAGTGACATTCTCCGTTCAACTGCGGGATCCTACATCACCGACCGTAAGCGGCGCAGTTCTAGAGAGGTCTAGAGTTATACCGAAACTTCCGAACCGGTACCACGTATGCTCTGAGCGGGTACGGACCGGTAAAAAAGCAACGCCGGCCAAGTATCGCGCCGGCCTATATGGGGCCAACCGAAAAAGTGCAGCTCGTAAACAACAAACGCGCACGGATGCCCGCGAAAAAATGGACTCGGCAATTAGCCAGGGCGATGCTCTGAGGACGAGTTCCGCGCTTGAAATGCCTCGCCTCTGAATCCCTCGACAAGTAACCGCCGAATTGAGCCATAAATCAGGGTTCAATTCTACACTCGTTGGCAAATTTGCATTCGTATCGACGAAGACGACGAAATACTGGATACTATCATATATTATTTTACCGTGGTAGGACCACGCAACTGTTCACTGTTGCACGAATGGGCAGGTCCGTCCGGGTAATTACCACGAACTCACAGGAGACCGGCGTAAAGTAGAAGTATCACATTTCTGCGTTACGTCTGGTGAGTGAGTTATCCGGGGCCCACCTTCTTTAAATGTGGCAATACATACACAATGCAACGATTGAACCCTACGGGTGTTGCAAATGTCCATCGGCGGCGGTTATTACTTAACATCAGGTGAACCGCCAGTTCCTTTGCTACTTTTTCACATTAAAAAAAAACAAAGATTATGAGTCGGTGGTGCAGTAGCTAGGCTTTTGGTTTCGTCGCCGGATCGTGGGTTCGATTCCCAAACGGAAGAAGTTTTTGCGTGGCCAACAGATAAATATTTACGATCTGGGTTGACTACAGGAAGACGGCGACTTGAAACAAATCTAGCCAAAATCACTTACAATTATTGACATGTTGTATCGACCTCATCTAGATGGGATAAGGGATAGAGGACAATGATGATATTCTGTTATTTGTTTCAATCTTAATGGAGTAGACAGCCTTCTCTATGTACTTTTTTGACGTTCATAAGAGCTTAAATTAAGCCTATATTAAATAAAGAAATTTTGACTTTGCCTTTGACTTTGACTATGGCTAGGTCATTTACAGACTTAGTTTTAAGGTTCTCGTTTGAATTGGGTGAAACGGTAAAAAAACGCTCGTTTTGAGATACATCATATGTTTTTATCTCCGTACGTCGATAATGCCTTTGAGGTTACCGCTAGGAGTTTTTCAATCATAAAATTTGGACGTTGAATATTAGTAGTTTTTTTAAACACTCGATTGAAGTTCAAAATGCGCACAATTTAGAACATGTTTCATACAAGGAAGATCCTATTCGCCAAGCTTGTGCGTTGAACGGGGCATTAATGTGACGCCAATATTTACGAACACTGGCATTCAATGCGAAACCATATAAGACCCTAACATTGGTGATACCCTGTACATTCTTCTCAAGTTTTGGTGTTTGTTTATTTGAAAATATATAAACATATTGAACTATCAACCTCTTATATTAGTCCTGGAGATGGGGATGTTTAATTTGTTAACGATCTTTGGTTTTCTATACCTCGTATGATAGAATGTTTTATTACAGTCATTTTGTTGATGTAGGTATATAAAAAAAATCTGGAATAGCTGACAACTCTTTATATTCACAGCAAAACAAGGAATTATGGAGTAAAACTGTTTTTATCACTGACGGTAAGACGTCTAATATCTTGTTCATACTATAACCACGAATGCCTGGTATTCATAATGTCGAGAATTTAAATTTATTTATAATGTAAATTAAATATTTTTGTTCATTTTTAATAACTTTAATAAGCGCAGGTACACTTTTACATATTTTTCGAAACAAAAAATATGAAAATGTTGAAATAATTGATTGGCTCATGAAAATTGTGAATTATTTAGTTTGTTGCAAACCTTGTGTTTATACAAATTTATATTTTGCTGACCGGAGGCAGAATACTGTGGGTTTCGCTTTTTACTTGTACTTTAACGAATGTTTTTAATTCCGTAGACTATTAAGCTTCATCGAGTGGTCTAGCCGGCATTTATAATCTTACATGGAGTATAAATAAAAAAAGTAAATTAACAGCTTATAAATGCCCTACCTCTGTACAGAGACTGTTAGGGCATAGTCCACCACACGGCCCCACGGCAGACTTCACATAAATCGTCGAAATAATTTTTTTGTCATCCTTTCGTAAATCTGCAATCTTCTACGGGATGTTTTTCTTCACCGTTGAGGAAGTGATAAGACCCTTATGCTATATCTTCATAGTGCGGGAAGGGATACCGAGACATCCCATGGAAGATATCCTACGTCAGAAACCACATATTCTTTCTACCGCCTGCTCTCCACTATACTTTCCATGGTGTGGAAGGATGAAACCATTGTCCTGGTTTCTCCAGTTGATCAACTTTTATTAGTCTGTAAATATACGGCTTCAGACTTTAAACAATCGAAGTAGCATATCATCCTTACAGACAGCAATTACTGAGTTTCAATCAAACATGGGCGACTGTTTGTTATCGCAAACAAAAGGAAGCGCAAGACTACTGAGATACTTAATATTTGAACTACTCTACAGTAACCAGTCATACCGTAATTGCTCACAAAAGAAACTGCAGCAGCCGCTAGACAGATCGCGTTTCGAATAGAAAGTGTCATTATTCAATTTCGAACGGCGCCAATCCAATTTGGAAATCAATTCAGCGTTCTAAAATGGAACTGAATCCGAAGACGTATTTAAATAGAACCGGCGCATTCTATAAACGAGCGACGGGCGAAAAAAAAAAACGTCAGCATAAATCGCAATTGAAAGCGCGAAAGATCTCAATCTGGACATCAATTAAACGCGCTAGGCGCGTCCGCCCGGGGCGTTTGAGCGCCTTCGTGACTAGTGGCCCCATGCCTAATAGCGGCACGAACTCGTGGGAACAGCTACCGCTGCTGTGACGGACGGACCGACAATACGACTCTGTATGGTAATCCCGAAATTGTTAACCCGGTGATTTAACTGCCAACATCCTGTCTCGAGTTGGATCGACATATTGTTTCAGACAGATGCTTTGATTATATGTGAGTTAAACATCCGCGTCCTTAAATGTGAATAGTTATTTTTGAAATTTTTAATTTTTAGTAGTAGTGCTAATCTCTGCGCTTAAGATTTAACATTAAAATTAGCAGAAAAAGTTAGGTTAGTGGCTAAAGCGTCAGGCCGCGAATGCCGAAGACATGGGTTCGGCGACACAGCGGCGACAATCTTTTCGTACTTTTTCTACAAATGTTAGTTATTTTTGACTCAACAGCTCAACCATTTTAAATATATTCGTGAACAAATATTACACGAATAATTTACGAATTGATTGAAATTCCGCTTCAAATATTAATGGGATAATTGTCCACAGTTACATTATCAAGTAACTGTTATTGTTTTCAATGTAGGTGTACCTGTGATCTGTTATCATGTTTAAGAAACGAATGGAGTGTTCTACACATAAGAAAAAATCACGGATGGATAAAATTAGGTTATTTGACAAAATATGTGTAACAGTTTAGTTCTTGTGTTGAAGTATTTTTTATTACAGTTAATATAAATTTGTAGTAAATTAGTACCTTTAATACATTTAAAAGAATCTTGTAACGAAGTAAATAAAACAAAAAATGAATGGGCGAAAGAATTTATAAAAATTGATGTTTAGAGAATAATAACATAATATTTTTTTATAATCAAACGCAAACCTCAAAAATTCTTTAACCAAAAGGTTTATAAACCATTTTATATAAAGCAATTCAATAACTCTGCAATAAAAACAAAAAAAGATATAAAGCGACCAGAAAACGAAACGCAAGCAATTATAGAAACGCGACACCATTCAAATAGAGTGTAAACGGACCCGGCAAAGACGGGAGCCAATCTTAAAGGCTCATTTGAATATAACAGCGGCCATGTCTAAATATGCGCATGCAATGGGAGGTGTGACGATGCTATCAGGCAACCGGCACGATTTATGAGCCGTCAAAGACCCGGAGTGACGGTCTTTGGAGTACTTATTATATTAGGGTCTGGGGGTCATCCGAACGCGAGTGCTACGGAAAATTTAATAGCATTGTGGAAAATGTTCGCAAACATTTCATCAGCTCGTTACCCACCTCATTTGATTCAAGATAGCTACAGTTGCTTTTAGATTTCGCTTCAGTGCTGATTGTGATATGGACTTACTATTTGTATTTACCGCTCATTTTAGTAACGCTTATTACAATAGAGATTGTATTGTATTATGTACGGGTGTTGCAAATGACCATGGGCGGCGCTCATCACTTAACATCAGGTGAACCGCCAGCTCGTTTGCCACCTTCACATAAAAAAAAAATATTCATTGACAAATTTACACAGATAAACACATACAAATATTCACAGACAAACACCCAGATACGAATAAACTATCAGTGTGTCACACAAATAGTTGTCGCGTGTGGGGATCGAACCCAAGACCCCGACGCCTATTGAACGATAGTATGTAAAGTAGGTAAGAAAGTAAAGGAGGTTTAATAAAAACATATTAATTTTAACACCCAAAGCCAGAAATAAATATACAAATGTAACGGTGCTTAACTATAGCTACACTTCAAAAATTTCAGTATATAATGTGACAATTTACTACTACTGGTTCCTTTTGCCATTATCAAGCATTTATGATAATCTCAAGCGATAACTGTCCACCTAATTTGATATATGAAATGAGAATACGATGGTATGTTCGTCGTAATATAAATCAGAGACATGCAAATAGATTATTGGGTTTTCGCGGCCTCCCAAAGGGGCCCAATAAACGTTTGTCAGAACCGCTAGTATTTCTGTCTGTTGTTGTGTTGTACACACACGGGGCGAGTGTTGCGGTTGGTCCAGCACTAACAATTAATTCTCGAGTGAGACATCGGGCGTGTTGGCGTGCCTACAGGCAATTCCCGAGTTGGTACACGTCTGCGCGGCGCTTTATAGGATAGCCCTGGGAAAACTTAAATTGAGAACAGCTAGTTGTGACTATCCGAAGCTGTTGGGGACAATTTTCGTATTTATCGCATGATTCAGATGCACCGTAAGCATTTCCCGTACAAATAAATATATAAATATTTGGGGAAATGATTGCACGACGTTATCTACTCCCAAACTAAGCAACTCATAGACTGATTATTTTGTAAATAAATATGTTTTATAGATATGTATTATGCATCGCCACTTACCATCAGGTGGTAAGTGGCGATGCATAATACAGGGTGGCAGACAAGTGCTAGACAGTTTTGGATTAA